GCCGAGTGGCGGTGCCGCTCCTCCCTTCGAGTACCGGGGGTGGAATCGTTTGTAGCCACTGTCATTATCTTCGAAACACGCGTGTAATTAATTCGGGTCAGGACTTTCGATTGATTTCGCACCGTTGTGAAGGAATGGGAATGAAAGAGAGTACTCGTAGAAATCAACGAATTCAATTTCTAGCCAAATAATAAGCTTATAAATTGAGAAGAAATAATTACAAACGATTTGTGCAGTAAAAATGGCAATGTCGCGAGAAACGCGAGTGTGTCAAGAATCGTGGAAAGAAACGGTAGAAAAGGGAGATGGCGGACGTAGTTTAGAAGAAAAGTCGTGGCACTCGAGAATGGCCAGGACAAAAGGTCTGCATCGTTCGGTTTTACCTCTTCTCTGTGAAACGCGAAAAAACGTAACGAGCCACTTGGCCACGTTGCATATTCCACAGTCCGGATATTCCAGCCTCGTTGTTACGTAAAATCTGGCCACCGTTCCTCCTGAGGGTTCGCTAATTGAAAGGGGCTTAATTGTCATTTTCGACTGCTTTGTTTGTCAACCTCAGACTTTCTCTGTTTGTTTAAAAAGCTTCGACTCGGTCTTGGGATTCTTTCGACAAGACACACAGACACACACGCTGATCAACTTTCATTTTAATTCACCCACCCTCCAGAACAATCGAGTTTATGATAAGTATACAGTATCTTTGGACCTCTTTAATTTACTCGCGAGTGGAAAAACGTCAAAGGCTTGAGGAGATTTTCTTTCATTGATTTGACCTTGTTACGAATTTCGTTCTTTCCGAATACTGAATTCTTAAGAATCGCTGTAATGATCGATCTACGAAAATTCCCGAGAGCCCATTAAACGGGTTAAGCGAGTAATTACGATCGCTTTCTCGATAATTAAGGAAAGATATTTATGTCAGCAAGTGTACAAGTTGGCGACCTTAACACGCGTCGAACGTGACAAACGAAAATAAGGTTAAATAGCGAATATGACTCACCTCGCGAAGCTCCTTGATCTTTAATCCTCCTTTGCCAATGATACATCCAGCTTGGCTCTGGTGCACCAACATACGCACGTCGATTTCATCGCTACCATGGCGAGATCCATTCTGAAAAATTAATTCGTTAAACATTGTAGCCGGCTGGGCAAAACGAGAGGTTCTATTTGCAAGGATAGTGTAAGTTTGTGTAACAGTAATTTCCTCGTGTGTTCGAGCTCCGATTTATGAGAAAATTGATTTTAAAAATTGATGAAGAACAGATTCTATTCGATTGAGAATCGATTCAATTTATTCTAGTTTTAATCAATCAACGTATCAATTTCGGGTTTGAATAAAAAAAATTTTTTTCTGTAAAAAGAAATAATCGAATAAAATGTAACTCGAGAGATGTTCTAAATCAATTTTTATAGAAATAAAATGTTGGAAATTTTTACAGGTTAAAGGAGAGTCTAATTTTTCTATCATTGCAAACATACACATTGACAATAAAAGGGTCATAATTTGGTTTCGAAATTAGTAACATAATATAATGCATTAGCAGTTTGTTAAAATAAATTCAAGAAAAACTCATTCGCATTCTTTTATCAACGTTCGAATCGACGCTGTAAGCTACCACTGTTCTAGTTGATTCTATCGTTGCTACACGAGCAGAGACTAGTGATTTAATTTCTTTTTCAATCGATAACATGTTGTCGGTCTATTTTTCTATTCTTGACAATCTACGTCTATCTACGTCAATCATTCAATAACCGAACATCTACAGGGTGGATCAGTATTTTACACGATGAAAAGGTTCAACAAAATTATACGAGTTTCATCCTGATTTTCATTTAAGAAATTTACGTTTTAATTAATTACTGAACCAGCCTGTACACAAGTTGTCCCATGCAGCTGAACCAAGCTTCGCTAGTCAAACGAGACAATTATCTCTCTCAAAAAAAATAATTATTTTCTTTAACGATTAAAGTTTAATAATCTAAGTTCAGGCAGTTTCGAAACTATCATCTTCCAAGAAAGAAAGTAATCACAACACTTTTTGTAAAAGAAACTGTGTGAAAACTGCAAAATCGAGTTTAAGGAAGCTGTACGAGTTGTTCAAACCGCACAGGACAATTTTCTACGTCGCGGACAACCGTTTTAACGAACTCTACTAAGATAAGAAGAAAACAATGTGAAAAGTCTCACGATTGAGTCATTTCTTTTCCCGTGTGATCCTCTTCTGGGAGCAACACTCACCTCCTCGAGATTAGGTACGACCTCGTTCAACACCTGAAGAACAGTGGGCAGATCCGAGCTGATTGTAAGCACCCTAGAATCAAAAGAACTCCGACAATCATTCCGGTCCTCGATCAATTAACACGCTTATCACGTAATTTTTCCTTTTATACTTTTTTTTTCTTGAACCCGTTCTTTTTATCGAATCGCGCCAATAAAATTCCACTCGGCCCTCTCCTCCTTTGTTCGTGGAAGATCAATTGCGAATTAAACCAGTTCGAATTTCGTTTTAACTTGAAAATCAGAAACATTTTCACCGAATTGTTTCCTCAGTTAATATTAAATATGAAGAGTCGAAGGGATCATAATTAGTTTTAGCACGTAACAAGTTTTTTAGGAAATAAACTGAGGACTGTAAAAGGAAGAAACAAAGGCAATATAATGAGATTTGCTGTACATCAACAGCGATAGTTTTCTCCTTGAACTCTCCATATTTTTAAAAAAATTTCTTTTATAAATCGAACAGAACGCTAGTCAAATGGCGAACAAATGAAATTACCACTGATGTTATTTGCAAATACAATTTTCGAAACCGAATGGAAGCACGGAAATGCATTGAAATATTTTTTAAAAATAGTATCAAATATCGGAAAAAGTTGTGTAAAAACCGAATGAAGCTCTGGCGTGTTCGAGAAGGTTTGCCTGAATTTTAAACGAGAAACAATATTCTCAGATAGCAATAGAAAAAATTGTAGCTTTGAGAGAAAATTGAATTTTGAAACGAGAAATAACATTTGTGAATATTTTTCAAACAGCGGTATCGAGGGAAGAAGATTGATCATTATTTTCCTTTGACCGAACGAACTTTATACCAGAAAGAAAGTTCGAGGAATTTTTCAGTGAATGTTTAACACTGGAGGGAGAGAACCGTGGTGATTCGTTGTTCGCGATTCCATAAGTCAGCAAATTTTGGTTCTCGAAGATGCGTTCGAAGGAATTCCATTCGTGAGATGTTTAGAATACATGTTAAAATAATTTTTGGATCGACATCTATAACAATCATTGAGATTAGAAAATTGTTGTGCCACTTAAAATTGTGTCCATTATTTATACTATTATAAACTGTATTACTTGTTAAAAATATAATGAAAATTCCTTGAAACGCATCGTTCAACCGAGCATCGTTCTTCGCAATGATTTCAGTCCCTGTTTATCGCGCTTCCCTTTTCAAAAGTGATCGAGAAATCGATTCTCGAACGAGCGAGAAAACGTGCATTTCTAAATCTGTCGCTCGAGCGAACACTCACGAATGTTCGTGGTTACTTGTTAATGTTAACCCTCGACTAGGCTAGCGTTAGAACCAGCAAACCGTGTACCGTCGAAATTTCTTCAAGTTCGACGTTCTATACGGAATCGATTATTTTAGCGACGATCTACCGCGGCGATTCGACAGCGTCTCGTTAATCCAGTGTTAATTCGAGTAGTCACATATTCGATGAAAACAGAGAGACGAATGGAATCGAAGATTTGTTCAAAATAAAAACAAGCGTTTTGGAAAGAAAGATATGCTAAGAAACGTCGAAACTAGTGAACTCGCGAGACCTTTTTGGAACGCATCCAGACGAAAAGGTGAACTGTCCCTTTCTCTTTTCGGACCTGTTCAAACATTCTTACTGATTAATGAACAGCCGCTAATTGGGTCCGATTGGATCTTGAAAAGACTTCTTTCGGATCGTTTATCCGAACGGGAAATCCTTGAGACTGGTAGAAACGATTGAATATTGCCTCGATGGATCATCGATGCCAAAGAGTTTGCAAATTATATCGGAAACATAAAATTGTCCAACGTCTTAAGATGCGGTATCGATACTTGTTGCTGCCATTTTAAGATAGAATCGTTATATTACCCTGAAGATTCCACCGGTAATTGCTATCAACGACCAATTTAATTAGGTAGAACGTTCATGAGTTATTGGCTTGTTTTATCGACTGAAAAGTTTACTGCCATTTTACAACTATATGTACATAAAAATTCTGTTAAAGATATAACTTGTTTAATTAAAAAAAACTATTCTTCGAAAGATTTCAAATAAATTATACATCGATACACGTACTATCAAGAATCGAATAATACTTCGATGGACCATGAAGAAATAAATTTTCCAGCGAATAATTCAACCGTGTCTACCATTCTCGTAAATTCCTAAATTTCCCCACGCTGATGTACAAATCCTATCGAGAAGGATTAAAACTCCATCGAGTATTCGCCACGTTCATGGTCCCCCCAAAAGGAACACGAAAATAAGCGTGCACCATTATTCTCAACCCTTTCGTTGCTGCTCGACTAACCACTCTAATTGCTGCTCGATGAATCGTAAGACGTGCAATAAGAAAAAAAATGCTTAACACTCAACCATACCGGAAGCTTATTAATAAACTTTTGCACGGTAAAAGCAATTAACAGACACTTTGTTAACCTCTCGAATAACGTGGATGCACGTTTGTTAAAATTACACAGAAATATTTTTATTTACACACGGAAAATTTGACGACACCGTTTCGTTTCGGTATGGAAACATTTATATTCATGGAAACTTTGGCAATATTGCTTTATTTAAATATGGAAACATTTATTTATGGGCCAACAGTGCTATCTATTAGCTCGCGATAACTCCTGACTATATTTCTGCTTCCTCTTTTGGACAGATTTGCATATTTCTCAGATATGCATATGGTATTCCTTGAATACGAATAGAAATCTTTCGCAACGAAAGGATTAAATATTACCTTCATTCCGTCAGAATGAATATTAACCACTAAAATATTATCCAGTTAAATTTCACAAACCGTGAAAAGTTCATAGCACCCAAGAGTGTTTATGCGGCACTCTTCTATCAAAGGATCTCGAGCTAGGTGAAAACGTTCGTTCGTTAGGGACGTTCGTTGGTTAACCCTTTCGGCGCAAATTATTTCTTTACTTCGAAGTATCTGATCTGAAAATATCTATAGTTCCGATCTCGATAATTATTTATTATTACCGATAATACTGACACGTACATAATACTATTAAGTAATAATAAATAATTTTTGATAGCTATGCAGTCTGGTGATCTAACGAGATCCAGAATGAGTAGTAAAATAATTGAGCGAAAGGGTTAATCAACAGGCATATCTCAGCCAGGACGATGACGGCAATCGATATCAGCGAAGAATCTCGCTGATCGTGGGTGTACCTAAAAAAATGAAGCGTGTCATGTCGACGTTAAGCGTGGAATCGGCAACAGTTTTGCCTCGTTCCACGGATTAGCAGCATCCGTGTTAGCCACAATATATTAGAGAGAGACACAACGGTGATACATATCCCCGACAATAAATATCGTGAGTGTGGTTTTCTGCGTGTGTGGTGTCGGGCGTGTCGTACGCGGCGCGAGACGATCCGTACAGAGAAACGAACAAAAAAGAACAAAGAGAGAAAGACCATGAAGAGCTACACAAACGGAAAGAGAGAAAGAAAGGAGGGAAATTCTGTAAGAGACAATGAAAGGAAAATGATCGAGGAAAAATGACGAAGAAAGGTTTCGCTCGCGTGTCCTTGCATCTTCGGAGAAACGGGTTACTTAATGGAACAATTAAGCCGATGAGAAAAAATGAATGTATCTTCGCAGCTATCTAGATATTTCATTCTTTTTAATTATACGAAACTTTATTATTACCCGCATTACCGAATTGTAATTACCGGTAACCAATTCGGATAAATGACAATTATGATACTAGAGTGCTACCGGACAAATATAGGGTCTACATTGCCTATCGGTGATTAAGAAATATCAAATGTCTAAAAATTCCGAACTGAACTAGAAACCCTGCAAGCCCTTCTCCAAACGATCCTTCAGCAAGATCCTTTGCCAAGTGATCCCGGAAACACGGTTCCTGTAGGAGGATAAATTATCCGGCAATCATCTCAGTTCCTGGTGCGAACGAAGGACAACCAAGACGAAGAGGTGACATGCACTCAACAAAGACGAAGCAACCAAGCATTATCCGACTCTCCTCTCTCTTGATGGACCTTCGCTGCTACCCGTCCACCAGTTCTGTTCGCAACAACAAAAGCTACAGGACACATCGCGGATGCAGAGACACGGAGCAACAAAGAAGAAGAAGAAGTAGAAGAATTGGAGGAGCGGAGGAGAAAGGAGAGAGATCCGAGTAGTGGAAGGACATGCAACCGCAGGTGGTGTGGCAGGTGCGGTCACGAAAACATCGTCCAGGATACACGCGTCTCGTGTGCTACTCGCTGAAAAGCTTCGCGTATAAAGGTCAATCAACTAATCACTCGCAATGAATCATCGAGCAACAACAACGAACAGGGATTATAGTCGAGGACGTGTGAAACGAGGTTCAGGCAGGCTCAGGCGAAAGATGATCACGATTAACGCCTTGAACGCCGTGAAAAGATCGTGTAATGTCGTATCTTGATCCTCTTACTATCACGCGTATGACCTATATATTCCTCACTAATATTTCATTCGAATCTTCTCAAATGATCAAACAGAATTCCTTAGGTCACCAAACTCTTAGGTCCTCGAATCTCTAGACACACAATTTTCTAGATCACCTAGAGCCCTGTATTTCTAGACCCCAAAATTGTTAGATCGTCAAACAGACAGATCTCTCGATAAATATAAAAATCTCCAAGTAAATTGCTCATGATCTCCACAGCGTTCGAATATAACAAACGAAAATTTGGCTATTATCTGAAACCTCCCGCCATGAGCCAGCCATTCGTCGCAACATGGAACGTGTTAAACCGAGGCGAAGGCAGACAGGTACAAAGAAACAAATGAGAAGAGACAGTGTGTAGAAGGAAGACAGTGAGATGGTAGGACAATACACAAAAAAGAGAATTACAGAAAAGAAAAAGAAAATAGAGAAACAAAGAAATAGACAAATAGAGAGAAAAATAGAGAATAATAAACGTTCGATTTGAAACAACGCAGCGATCCACGTGTCGCTGCTAATTAAGGTACTGTTTTTTTTTTAATTTAGAGACAAAGAAAAATAAGACATTAAGTAGTGGTGTTGGTCATTACCGTTCGGGTCCGGGGCAATCGGGTACAATGATTGAGGCTTTGTACTGTCGGGCCGTGGTGGTTGGTGGTTGGTTCATTGGTGGTTGGTTGGTGGTTGTTGTCGATTGTTGGTAGGGTGGTCCATTTGCCGATCGAGTCAGGGTCCGT